AATCTTTTAAAATTTTTTAAATATAAATTAGTTGTTTACATTTAAATATAAATTCATTTAAACAGAATAAAAATTCAGTTCCTAATTTATATTTACTACATTTCAAGTGTTCAAAAGTCACATAAGAGTAGTGGCTACCATAGTAGATATACAGATATAAACTATTTCCACTATCACAGACAGTTCTATTAGAAGGTGCTCCTCCAGACTGTCCAAATAAAGTATGTTCCTCCCCTAAATTCTTGCAGGAAAAGAGGCAAAGGGCCTTTCTTTATCATATTACTATTCTTAACACAAGCGACATTAAGCCTAGTAAGGTAAAACTGTGAGCCGCACATTCACTCTCAAGACTCTCTTTCTTTCCTTTCCACTCTCCAACCCCAGGATTAGGAACTAGTGAGACTTCCCTGACCACTGTAGGAAGATCACTCCAGGAGAAATATAGATTGAGTTTTCTAAACATGCCCCACATCCTCCCTTTACAGTAGACTCTTGAAGAATGCCCACACCATCCCTACACACCCAAAATACTCTACCAAAATGGCCACCATTAAAAAAGAATTATGTCTGTTAACTCATTAATTCTCCCAAATATTTCCATCCATGAGGTCATAGAATATACATCGAATGACATCTCTATCCCAGCACTGTGCTAGGCATAGAAGATACAGTAATGGATAAGACAGTTGTGGTCTCTTTCCTCACAGCACTGATAGTCTAGCAGAAAACAGTGAACGAGCGATTACAACTGTGACACAGACCACACAGGGGAAGCAGCAGACAATCTAACAGGAAGGCCTTACCTAGTCTTCTGGGTTAGGAAAACCCTCCTGAGCAAGTGATGTTTGAGGCGAGGTTTGAAAAATAAGATGCTACTTAGAGAAAGAGGAGAGGAATAGCATTCCAAACAGTGGTAAAGCCATGGCCCAAGCCTTTGAAGTTGGAAAGAACAAAGAAAAAGCTGTAAAAGAGTCAGTGTGACTGGCTCCTAGAGAAGGAGCACAGAGTGGCAGAGGTGAGGAGAAAAGCAAACGTGGAGGTCACTCTGGCTGCAGAGAACAGATAGGAAGGGAGCAAAAATGGATTCACAGGGATTATTTCAGAAGTCCTGCATAGGATCATGGGCTGGGATGAAGGCGCGGTAAAAGTGGGCAGAGTAGTGAAGCACTTGGAGGTAGAGAAAATCAACAGGCCCTAACACTGAATGGATATCAAGAGTGAGGAAGAGAGAGGAGTTTTAAAATGACCCCAGATTTCTGGGTTTAGGAATTGGTTAAGTGGTAAACTGGCAAACACTGTAAAAGGAGTGGGTTGCAAAGAACGAGGCATTAAAGATAAGTTAGGAACCAGTGGAATCAACAATGTCTGCGAAACATAGTAAAAGGGAGGTGTTTGAGTGGGCAGCAATTAAATCTGGGGTCACCATCAGGGGTGTAGGTGAGATTGAAACCTGCAGAGTCAATGACATCACCTCAGGAGAGAGTACGGATTAAGAAGAAAGGAAGTTGAGGCCCCCAAAGAGCCCCACATTGTGCCACAAGCACCTGCTGGGCTGCAGCTGGGTTCTGAGGAGGGCGGCCCTGCCTTCAGGAGATCTGCAATCTAATCAATGTTCCATTCAGAATCATGCAAGATTCAATCCCAGCAATCAACCATTTGCAGCTGGCAAGAGGCTGTCTTTCCAAGGTTTTCTGCCAGATTTGACATATTTGAACACCTTCAGATCTTCATCCCTGTCTCTGGCTTAGAGCAGATAGTGTTCTGGCAGCTAGGGTCCAAAAGAACCGTCTTCCCCACCCCCACCCCCCGTTCCTTGCGGTGTACTGCCACCTGGTGGCCACCTCCTGGTAGAAGCAATCTTACCCTTTTCCTTTGTTTTGGTTTGAGATCCACACACCTTTAAGGATGCCTCCTACTCAAACAAAGCTATTTTTAGCTTCTTTCATGGTCTCATTGGACTTGAGGTGTAATTGAGCAGGAAGGTCAAACGGCAGTAAAAACAACGACATTTTTTTCCCTCTTCTCGTCAAATATTTTTGTAATACATGTAGGCATTGTTAATGGAGACAGGAAGTACAGATTACAGAAGAGCTCATAAATTGCTATAACACCATAGACATGTTCCTACTAATGATATTATCACATTTTTAATTGATTTATAGAATTTAATTATCTCATGAAGGTTGTTTGTTTTTTTTTCCCACTAGCTTTAAACCAAATTCTGGGCAACAAAATATATTTAATGGCTGATAAAATAAACCAAAATGGTTGTTTTACTTCCTTGTTTCAGTGTGAGTCACAAGCTTTAGAATATAAAATATTATTTTAACAGTCAATAGTAAACTAATTCACAGTATACTTTTGTATTTTTCCCATACTTTCCTCTTGTAGATAATATGTAAAATTATGGAAAAATAAATTACTTTGCACTTTCAAGGATGAGCTAAGTTATGATGATGGTGTCCTCTGTAAAAGCCTATCTAACAGAACAGTTTTCAATTTAGGTTAAATTTCAACCAAATAGCAGTAAACTAAGATGGAATTACATAAAGAAAGTGATTGCATCACCATCATTCATTGCAATTCAGTGAACCACAAAAAGTATTTAATGCTTATTTTTGTTGTTTTTTTAAAATTTTTATTTTATTTATTTATAAAGCAGGTTCTTATTAGTAATCAATTTTATACACATCAGTGTATACATGTCAATCCCAGTCGCCCAAATCAGCACACCCCAACCCGCACCCCCCTGCCACTTTCCCCCCTCGGTGTCCCTACGTTTGTTCTCTACATCTGTGTCTCAATTTCTGCCCTGCAAACCAGTTCATCTGTACCATTTTTCTAGGTTCCACATATATGCGTTAATATACGATATTTGGTTTTCTCTTTCTGCCTTACTTCACTCTGTATGACAGTCTCTAGATCCATCCATGTCTCAACAAATGACCCAATTTCATTCCGTTTTATGGCTGAGTAATATTCCATTGTATATATGTGCCACATATTCTTTATCCATTCGTCTGTTGATGGGCATTTAGGTTGCTTCCATGACCTGGCTATTGTAAATAGTGCTGCAATGAACATTGGGGTGCATGTGTCTTTTTGAATTATGGTTTTCTCTGGATATATGCCCAGTAGTGGGATTGCTGGATCATATGGTAATTCTATTTTTAGTTTTTTAAGGAACCTCCATACCGTTCTCCATAGTGGCTGTATCAATTTGCATTCCCACCAACAGTACAAGAGGGTTCCCTTTCTCCACACCCTCTCTAGCATTTGTTGTTTGTAGATTTTCTGATGATGCCCATTCTAACTGGTCTGAGGTGATACCTCATCGTAGTTTTGATTTGCATTTCTCTAATATTAGTGATGTTGAGCAGCTTCTCATATGCTTCTTGGCCATCTGTATGTCTTCTTTGGAGAAATGTCTATTTAGATCTTCTGCCCATTTTTGGATTGGGTTGTTTGTTTTTTTAATATTGAGCTGCATGAGCTGTTTATATATTTTGGAGATTAATCCTTTGTCCATTGATTTGTTTGCAAATATTTTCTCCCATTCTGAGGGTTGTCTTTTCGTCTTATTTATAGTTTCCTTTGCTGTGCAAAAGCTTTGAAGTTTCATTAGGTCCCATTTGTTTATTTTTGTTTTTATTTCCATTACTCTAGGAGGTGGATCAAAAAAGATCTTGCTGTGATTTATGTCAAAGAGTGGTCTTCCTATGTTTTCCTCTAAGAGTTTTATAGTGTCCAGTCTTACATTTAGGTCTCTAATCCATTTTGAGTTTATTTTTGTGTATGGTGTTAGGGAGTGTTCTAATTTCATTCTTTTACATGTAGCTGTCCAGTTTTCCTAGCACCACTTATTGAACAGACTGTCTTTTCTCCATTGCATATCCGTGCTTCCTTTGTCATAGATTAGTTGACCATAGGTGCGTGGGTTTATCTCTGGGCTTTCTATCTTGTTCCATTGATCTATGTTTCTGTTTTTGTGCCAGTACCATATTGTCTTGATTACTGTAGCTTTATAATATAGTCTGAACTCAGGGAGTCTGATTCCTCCAGCTCCGTTTTTTTCCCTCAAGATTGCTTTGGCTATTCGGGGTCTTTTGTGTCTCCATACAAATTTTAAGATTTTTTGTTCTAGTTCCATAAAAAATGCCATTGGTAATTTGACAGGGATTTCATTGAATCTGTAGATTGCTTTGGGTAGTATAGTCATTTTTACAATATTGATTCTTCCAATCAATAGAGAGAACATGGTATATCTCTCCATCGGTTGGTATCATCTTTAATTTCTTTCGTCAGTGTCTTATAGTTTTCTGTGTACAGGGCTTTTGTCTCCCTAGGTAGGTTTATTCCTAGCTATTTTATTCTTTTTGTTGCAATGGTAAATGGGAGTGTTTCCTTAATTTCTCTTTCAGATTTTTCTTCATTAGTGTATAGGAATGCAAGAGATTCTGTGCATTAATTTTGTATCCTGCAACTTTACCAAATTCATTGATTAGCTCTAGTAGTTTTCTGGTAGCATCTTTAGGATTCTCTATGTATAGTATCATGTCATCTGCAAACAGTGACAGTTTTACTTCTTCTTTTCCAATTTGGATTCCTTTTATTTCTTTTCTTCTCTGATTGCCTTGGCTAGGACTTCCAAAACTATGTTGAATAATAGTGATGAGAGTGGACATCCTTGTCTTGTTCCTGATCTTAGAGGAAATGCTTTCAGTTTTTCACCATTGAGAGTGATGTTTGCTGTGGGTTTGTCGTTTATGGCCTTTATTATGTTGAGGTAGGTTCCCTCTATGCCCACTTTCTGGAGAGTTTTTTTTCATAAATCAGTGTTGAATTTTGTCAAAAGCTTTTTCTGCATCTATTGAGATGATCATATGGTTTTTCTTCTTCAGTTTGTTAATATGGTGTATCACATAGATTGATTTGCGTATATTTGAAGAATCCATGCATCCCTGGGATAAATCCCACTTGATCATGGTGTATGATCCTTTTAATGTGGTGTTGGATTCCATTTGCTAATTTTTCTTTTTGTCCATATTTCCCAATTATACATTACATGAAATAATTACATAGGTCCTAATTTTCTGAGAATTTCTAATTGACAAGAGATCAAACATCCTTGTGTTACCTGAGTCTTATGGATAACATTCAGTTGTTCTAAGAGAGATTAAACTCAACCAAAGACAAAGTTTAAAGCAAAATTAAACAGATAAAATCATGAAACAAAAGAACCAGTATTAACCATGTGCTCTTAGTTATCTGAGTTCCCTTCAGGTCAGATGTTTATAAAAACGTTATCTTTGGAATATGTTTGGTCTTCTATCAGAAAAATGCCCAGAACTTTTATTTCTCTAAATCCTACCATAACCATTGAATGAATCATTGGTGAATAAATGTGGAAAGTGCCGGTCTGTGTAACAGTAGAAGGTGAATGATATAAAACAATTCCTGACCTTGCATTAACTTGAAACCTGTTATAGCCAATGTGTAAATCAAATCAAACAGAAGACGGGAAAGCACTCTGAAAATTATACACAATGCAAATCTAAATAAGAATTATTCTCATAATAGCATTACCTCACCAACATCATTATAGAGGACAGCTCCATCACAAACACACATGCACAATTTGACCAAGGTGATGAAATAAATTAGGTGAGGAAATACACAGCAGAAGTTAAAAACTTACAGCAGCTGTGAAAGTAAGACTCAGCTTTGAAATTTCCCACTAACTTTTGGTTTGAGGATTCACTGTCTGTGAGTCAGCTTATCTTTATTTTTTTTTCATCATAATTCTCTGATTTTCTTTCTATCTTAATTCCCAGAATAAATATGGAGCAGCAACCAATAGAAAACAGAAGTCCAAACTGCCAGCAGCACCTTTCTAAATACTGCTGTGCTGTGCAGAGAGCAGTGAAGTGTGTCCAGTCAAAGCACACAGTAAATTATGTGAAACATCCATCCCCCAAGTGTCCTGTGCTGCTGTGTAGGGAAACTCACAGTGCATAGCTAAAGGATCTCTTTGCTCAGGAAGGTTTAAGTAAAGTTCAACACAAAATTTTCTCCCCAGTGGATAATCTTAAATCAAAATCAGGATGCCACAGGCTTGATTCGTGAGCCTATAAAACCCTGTGGGTCCTGACACATACAGACACATTCTCAGACTCCCAGTAATCCTTCTTTTGCTCTTTCCTCTAACATCACCTTCCCTTGGGTCACCACCACATCCCAGCAGTTTGTGTAGGAAAAGTAGGATTGCAGGAGAAATTTTTAAAAGCCCTCCTTATAGAGGACATTTGTTTAAAAATACCTGGATGTTCTCTTGGTTGCTTTTTGGGGAAAAAATTGTTAATATCAGTCTCTAGTCCACAGCCAAAGATTCACTTTCCTGCTGCTCTGTTTTTGTCACACAAAGTTAGAGATGATCTGCAGCACCAAGTACCCTAGAGGGATTGATAGTGACCTTTCATGGCAGTGTCTGCTACAGAAAATGCACCATGTCTCCCCAGTTCAACCCTGTACTGGTCAGCTCAGGCTGCCTTAACTGTATGCCACAGACTGGGGGACTGGGGGCTTAAACCACAGAAATGTATTTTCTCACAGTGCTGGAGTCTGGAAGTCCACAATCAAGCTGCCAACAGGGTTGGTTTCTTGTGAGACTCCTTCACTTGCAGACAACAGCTTCTCACTGTCCTCACATGGCCTTTTCTATCTGTGAGTACATGGAGAGAGAGAGACTTCTGTATCTCTTTCTGTTCTTATAAGGATACTAGTCACATTGTATTAGGGCCCCACCCATATGACTCCCTTAATTACCGCCTTAAATGTCCTGTCTCCAGATACAGTCATATTAGAGGTTAGGTCTTCAGCATATGAATTTTGTGGGAACGCAATTAAGTCCATAACAAATCTATATTTATTGACAACCTAGGATGAGAAAGATATGGTGCTAGACTCAGAAAATACAAAAGTGAATAAGACACTATCCCTGGCCTCAACAAGTACACAACTCAGTGTGGGGAGATCAATGTGTGTACAACTATATATGCCCCAAGCCAGCTGTGAAAGTGCAGATATTAGACTCTAAGAGAGTGATAAAATGCTGTAGAAGAGACCATGAATGAGTTTAAACAAATGGTGTGATGTGGTTATGTGTCCTTTAGAATGATCACTCTGGTGACAGTGAGGAAAATGGACTGGGGTATTGAGACTGAAAGCAAAGAGGAAAGTTAGCAGTCTCCTATTAACCTAGAAGATGAAGAAAGAAAACCTGAACTATATCACAGAAATATGAATAAAGGCAAGGAGACTTTAATTTGAGAGACTTTTAAGAAATAAGGTCAAGATAAATGTAAGGCCAGACACTATAAAACTCTTAGAGGAAAACATAGGCAGAACACTCTATGACATAAATCACAGCAAGATCCTTTTTGACCCACCTCCTAGAGAAATGGAAATAAAAACAAAAATAAACAAATGGGACCTAATGAAACTTCAAAGCTTTTGCACAGCAAAGGAAACCATAAATAAGACCAAAAGACAAGCCTCAGAATGGGAGAAGATATTTGCAAATGAAGCAACTGACAAAGGATTAATCTCCAAAATTTATAAGCAGCTCATGAAGCTCAATAACAAAAAAACAAAAAACCCAATCCAAAAATGGGCAGAAGACCTAAATAGACATTTCTCCAAAGAAGGGATACAGACTGCCAACAAACACATGAAAGGATGCTCAACATCATTAATCATTAGAGAAATGCAAATCAAAACTACAATGAGATATCATCTCACACCAGTCAGAATGGCCATCATCAAAAAATCTACAAACAATAAATGCTGGAGAGGGTGTGGAGAAAAGGGAACACTCTTGCACTGCTGGTGGGAATGTGAATTGGTACAGCCACTATGGCGAACAGTATGGAGGTTCCTTAAAAAACTACAAATAGAACTACCATATGACCCAGCAATCCCACTACTGGGCACATACCCTGAGAAAACCATAATTCAAAAAGAGTCATGTACCAAAATGTTCATTGCAGCTCTATTTACAATAGCCCGGAGATGGAAACAACCTAAGTGTCCATCATCGGATGAATGGATAAAGAAGATGTGGCACATATATACAATGGAATATTACTCAGCCATAAAAAGAAACGAAATTGAGCTATTTGTAATGAGGTGGATGGACCTAGAGTCTGTCATACAGAGTGAAGTAAGTCAGAAAGAGAAAGGCAATACCGTATGCTAACACATATATATGGACTTTACAGAAAAAAAAAATGTCATGAAGACCTAGGGGTGAGACAGGAATAAAGACACAGACCTACTAGAGAATGGACTTGAGGATATGGGGAGGGGGAAGGGTAAGCTGTGACGAGCGAGAGAGTGGCATGGTCATATATACACTACCAAACATAAGATAGCTAGTGGGAAGCAGCCGCATAGCACAGGGAGATCAGCTGGGTGCTTTGTGACCACCTAGCGGGGTGGGATAGGGAGGGTGGGAGGGAGGGAGACGCAAGAGGGAAGAGATATGGGAACATATGTATATGTATAACTGATTCACTTTGTTATAAAGCAGAAACTAACACACCATTGTAAAGCAATTATACTCCAATAAAGATGTAAAAAAAAAAAAGAAAGAAGATCAAGAAAATTTGGGAAAATAAATGATTTCTATCACAAAGGACTTCTGGGAAACATTAATTATTTTTAACTTTTCTTAGTTCACTCAGTTAGCACTTCCACATCTCCTTGATTTATATCTCTGTTAGTACACGTTGCAAAATATTTTCAATGCAATCTAACTTGCTTTCTAATGTATTCTGATCACCTTTCCCAAGTATACTTTAATGTTACAAATTTAAACATGCTAGACAATGTCAATGGATATTGAGAGTAAAGACCTATTAATAAATCTCCAACAGCCCTGGCTACTAATATATTCCTTAATATATACTTAGGAATTACATCTCAGAGTTAACCGGTAAACTCTAAATGTATCTTACTCTCAAAGCCAAAATTAAGTGGGCACTCTTTTGTTCTCCTTTCGTGGTCATGATACACCACCATTCTGCTGGGTACCCAGTGCTATGCCTTGGAATCATCATGAACCTCTCCTTCTCCCCCAGATTCTTTTCCCAGTAAGTCACAGAGACCTGCAAGCCTTCCTTTAGATTCTAAAGTTTAAAACGGCTTTATCAGCCATCTTTTCCTTTCTATTTCCAGGTCCAGTCCTCAGCAGCACCCGAACGATTCCAATCCATTCTGCTTGCCACAACTGCATGCCTTCCAAAGACGACTCCATCCAGGCACTCAGATTAGGGCCTCCCCTGACTCCTTCAGAGCTAGCACCTTCTCTTACAGGTTGCATCACAGTCCTCTGTAGGTGTCTGCCTCCAACTAGAATATGAGATCGTTAAGTAGAAGAGCCATATCTTGTTCAATCAAATCCACACCCTGTGCTTCAGATGCTGTATATATTTTATGTGTGTTGAATTAATTGATTAAGAGATCCCTTGTGCGTATGGAGTTTACATTAATGATTGTGTTAAATATAGTGCTGCATATGAGTAAATGCTGCTTCTCCCACTCACATGTAAAGTACTTAACTGCCAGGCCAGGGTGTTCCATTTCTTTATACCTCAGAGAATCTAAGGCAATGCCTTAAACTCAGTAGGTGCCTAGATGATACTTGTGTTTGATGTAGGCAGTATCTCTCTACTCACTGCAGCACAGACTGGACCCAGGTTGCAGCCAAAACACATTTCCCTACTTCCCCTATATTAATAAGTTTCATTCAAGAGATCATTTAAGATGACCATTTCTCAGATCCTCTTCCAAAATCAATGAAGCTAACATGAAAAATTAGCTGGTCCCTGAACCCTATTTGGCTTCCAACTCTGCTTTGTGTGGAAGTAAAGGGTGATAAAGGGAATGTAGTCATTGCAGGAGGTAAGAAACCAAACTTAAACACTGAGTTCTGTAGCCAGAGCCAGCTACTCTTCTTCTGTCTTCCTTGCAATGATGTCTTGCCCAGGTTCCTAAAAAGCTTATGGCATCAACTAGCTGTCAAATGCCAAGTCTCCCGATCACTCTAGAGCCAAGAAGTTAAACTATGGGAGTAAAATATAAGCCCTGTCCTCACCCCACTTCCACTCCATTTCTCCAAAATGACGATTTTTTTTTATATAGGTTGCCTTACTCAGAGAGGCACAAACCACAAGCAACAACACTAAAGCAACTCTGATATTTTCTAGGTTGCCTTTGCATTATAGAAAGCCATATTTAACTTGGCACCATTGAAAAGACCAGACTAAGTTTACATGCAGCAAATGAGAACACATGGATGGTTCAGTGTAGTATACATATGGCCTATTCTTAACAATGATGGTGTTTATTAGTGTGGTTACTCTGTAGCTGGTTCCATACTAAGTGGTTTATATACTTATTATCCTTTTGTGCACATTCTAACATTTAATCTTTGCAACAATCATACGTGGTCACAATTATTCCTTTTTATGGATGGGAAAAAATGAGGATGAGAGAGGCCTTCTTGTGCCTATGGACACAACGAGTAAGCTGGAGGAGCTGGGATAAACCTAGTTCAGTATGACTCCAAAACTTACCATCTTTTTACCACTTCTCCTGCCTAAGCTTAACTGAAAAATTCAAATGTGAGGCGTAACCATTCACGTGGCCAGAAGGACTCAAAGTCACAAGATAAACAGGATGCACCTTCCTGGAGTAATTTTGCACAACGACAAATGAAATACACTTCAACATATTAAAACAAACATGAATACATATAAGTCTAATGCAAACTTCGCACACATTTTTAAAATAAAATAGAAGGCACCAAAAATACTGTCGTTTTTGAAACAGAGTCCCACCTGAGGCTATGCCTCAGACTCTACCTGCCTCCCTCCTCTCCCTCCCATTCCCAGGGGTATTTATTTGGCCCTGTGTTTCATTAAAAGGTTCAGATGTGACCCAGACAATGGCCCACATTAGGAGATACATTCTAGGGGCAGAGGCATATGGACAAGTGTTAGTTTCATTTAGGTGGGCTATTTGTGTTCATAAGACTGTAGCCTCCAGGAGAGGACAGAGGATTGGGTACCAAGGCTTCTGTCACCAGGTGGAGTTCAACACGGGACTGAGTGAAAACTTAGGCAAAGTAAAACCAGAGAAAAAACAGTAAGAGAATCCAAAGCTTCAGTTTCCAGATTCAGGATGTTCTGGACAGCAAAAAGAAAAGAAAGAGAAGGAGAGGTGGAGAGAGATGGAGAGAGAGAGAGATGGAGAGAGAAAGGGTGGGGGAGACATAAATAGGGAGGAAATGGTGGAGAATGAGCGGGGGGGGGGGGGGGGGAAGAAAGGAAGTAAGTTGCGATACTACTTAGTGCTCAAGTGTCTTACCAATTATGGGTGACCAGCTGACTTTAGTCTTGGTCAATATTCCAGTATTGTCATTTGTTGCCTGAACCAGCATCTAAATCCTTTTCCTGTTTGATGAATTCCGTACCATATGACTCTTGGTAAGAGGCAGAAACTAATCCCCCTTGAGAAGCTGGAAGTGCCAGTCCCTCCACTATATGACTGCAACTCCGCTGATCAAACGCACCTGCACAGAGGCAGCAGCTATCCCTCCTGCCATGGGAGTTCCTTGGGACTTGGGGCTGGTGTGGGCTGAAAGTGAAGCCCATCAGTAGATCCAGCTGTAAACAGCTGAAAAATGCCCAAATCAGACAAAGTTTGGGACTGCTATTTGAGGATGCCGGAGGCATATAATTTTTGCATAAAATCAAAAGGTCTTACAACAGCCTTAGACCCCAAGCCAATGTTTTCCACTAGTGTTCAAAGGTATGAAATTCATCAATTTTACCTGTGGATCTTACCTAATGATAGATAAGCTTCCCCCTTAGCTTCTACACAACCTCATTAACAACCCAAGGTGACCTTTTTCTGTGCTCCTCTACCTCCATCTAGTGGATGAAGAGTCACCTGCAGCTCTGGTTTTCTTGTAGTCTGGGATCAGTGCAGGCTTTTTCCTGAATCTGTAACTGCACATCTGTTAAGGCTTTTGCGGCTGGAAAACACCCCTACCTCTCATTGGGCAGAGTATCCATTGAGCTATGGAAAAACCAATACCTTGATGTATCTTTAGAAGCTCAGGGCTAGAACTACACATTCTGAACTTGTTCATTTAGCGATGACTGAAAAAACTTGGTTTTGTGTTTACAGTATTTCCTACTGAAAACTCTACCTTTAGAATATTTTGATCTTGCCAGGAATTTCTGCTGTACTGCAGCGCACAAAAAATAAAGCACAGAGAACTGACAGGAGAAACAGAAGCTGTTGCTAACAAATGTGCTCTCTGGGATCTAACTTGCATAGAAGTCAAACAGAATGCAGTAACAGAGAATCTAAGAATTTTTGAGCTGAGGAACTCTTAATGACCATCTGATAAAGATGGAAAATAATTCAGAGCAAAGCAAAAACAGGAGATATGACCCAAAGAACTTATTTGAGGCCAGAGTCACCAGTCCAGATTCTATGAGTTGCTCTGTCTCCTTCTCTCCTCTCTCTCAAGGTCATTCCACCTGCCCATCCAGCCCTTTCCTCCTTCCCAAGATTTGTTATGGATTTTTTTATCAGCAAAAAGTTAACCTTTTCCACTGACAAAATCATTAAAACATAGAACCACAGAATATTTAAGCAAAAATATTTTTGCAGATTATCTAGTTTCACTTCTCTCATTCTATGTATAGGATTTAGGTACTTTGAATAACTTGGCTACAGTCATAAACCAGCTAGTTACAGAGCCAGTGGACAGCAACTCTAATGCAAATAAGCAACACCCTGAAAAAGAAAGGGTCATCATAGGGTAAAGGCAGCCATATGTAGCAGTGTCCATAGGACTTTAAGATAGGAAATAATGTTTTGACTGGCGGGGGGGGGCATGGGGAATCATTGAAAGGAATAATAGAAAGCAACCTTTCTTTTCTCACTTTTTTTTCTGGATGTCTGTTTCTGCCCTGGAGAAATGCCTTCAGGGAGCTGGTGGGTCACAGAAATGTCTGGAACCCTATATATGTGGTGTCCTACAAAGTGGTAGGTATTACCAGTGGGAAACCTACAGACTGCCCATTTGAAGGCATGAAACTTAAAAACTGTGAACCCTATGCTGCCTAAGAAGACTACTCCTGAAGGCCCTACTCAGCTTGGTGACAGCCCGATCACAGCCTGTAATTTATGGCATCACCAAGGGAGATTTCCAGAGTAAGGTTTCCAGAATGACTATCAATGAATCATTTCCAATCGAGGAAACTGAGTCTACTAAACCTATCCTCATTAGGTCATGTTGAAGAGGAATGATAAAAAGGGGAGGAAAGCAAAACATATAGGGCCAAATACAATAGCACATTTTTTAAGTGTCTCTCCCAGGTAGACCAAGCCCATGGCTGAGTAGAACTGTAAAACAGGACTTCCCTGCTGGTGCAGTGGTTAAGAATCTGCCTGCCAATGCAGGGGACACAGGTTAGATCCCTGGTCCGGGAAGATCCCACATGCCACAGAGCAACTAAGCCTGTACACCACAACTACTGCGCTCTAGAGCCCATGAGCCACAAGAAGAAAAGCCACTGCAATCAGAAACCCACGCACTGCACCAAAGAGTAGCTCCCGCTCGCTGCAACTAGAGAAAACCTGTGTGCATAAACGAAGACCCAACGCAGCCAAAAAAAAAAACGGAACTGTAAAACAGGGTAGACTTGAATATAATGATCATTCCACTCAGCACACACTTTATGTGCCATCTGGTAGACTTGTGTAATTGATTGCCACAGGACATAATCATTTTAAAAGACAATTAATTTGATTACCAGTAATGAAGTTTTTATCTATGCAAACTAGGAGCCAGGCAGCGAGATGAAGAAAGTAACCAAGTTTGCAAAATCAGAATGCAAGATGCATCATTCAGGAGGTTGGAGAGAGGAGCCCATCTCCTAGAAAACACTGGACTGAGAAACACTGCATTTCGGGTATTTGCGGTGTCCACCTCATCCACCAGATGGTAATCCCACTTCCAGAAACAGATCTTGGACTACACTGAATTCATCTCCTCTTTTATATGCATAATCTGCATTAGAGATTTTATCTATTGATTAAATGAAGGGACAAAAAGGGAATACTGTTGAGCATCTATTGAGTACCACGCAGCCTCCTAGATACATGTTATCCTTCCTCTATTTTAACCCTCACAACCAATTCTGAAAGGGAGGTTAAGATGATCAGACCAAGATCACACAGCTGGTAAGAGATTGTGGCAGGTGAATAATGGCCCCAAAAGATGTCCATGGCCTAACCCCTAGATCCTATGAGTGTTATATGGCAAAAGGACTATTGCAGGTATGATTAAATTAAGGATCTTGAGATAAGAAGATTATCCTAGGTTATCCAGGTGTCCTCTAAATGCAATCACATGTATCCTTATGAGGGAAATTTGACTACAGAAAGGAAGGTGATATGACCAACCACAGAAGCAGAGACTGGGGTGATGTAGGCAGGGGCCAAGGGAGGCCAGCAACCTCAAGAAGAAGAAGAGGCAAGAAACAGATTCTCCCCTGGAGCTTCCAGAAGGAACCAGCCCTGCTCACACCTTGTTGCCCCTTGAGACTCACTTTGGAATTCTAACCTCCAGAGATATAGAATAAATCTGTGTTGTTTTAAGCCACTCAGCTTGTGGTAATGTGTTACAGCTGCAATAGAAATTAGTACAGAGGTGAGCCAGAATTCTACCCAGGTCTGCTCAAACTCGAAGCCTGCATTCTTTTCACTACTTTACGCTGCCTGCCATTTGATTAAAGGCTGGAACTAAGTATGCAAAGATTCATATCTTGTCCCAGTTTTAACATTCCCAAGATCTGGAACTGAGTATTGAATCAGATGACCTTATTAAATCATTACAATTATCCCATTTGTTGATTATTGCCATGATGGTTCTAAACAGTAGATTCAAAGAAAAAAAATCAAAGAAATTCACCATTTAAGAATGGCTAAACTGAAGTCAGTAATTTTGACTGAGTTATTCCACATACTTTGAACTAAAATATTCAGATATTGAGCTGAAAGTGCTTTGATGCTTTTGACTCATAGTATTCAGAAAGCCATTAAGTTTACATATCTCAGTTTATCCTTATCAACATTTAAACATATTCGCCTATTGGTTTCTCTTTGATGACAGTGTCATATTTGCATGGAAATCTAAAAACCTGGATTCTATCATTAGTGTTTTTACCATCAATTAGCTCTTCAAGCTTGATCAAATCACCCAACATTTCTGGACCTCAGTCTCCTTACCTGCAGAATGGGGCAGTGGGTAGGAAGTTTGCCAAGCAGATCATCTCTAAGTTTTCTTCCAGTTTTAATATAAAACATGGCAGGATTCCCACAGCAAAGCTTCTGGGTATTGATTTCAAGTATGCTCATTATTACAAAGTGCCACTAGAGGTCAGGTTAAGCTTGGTAATTCTATCTAATCTGGCCTGTACATTGAGCAAATGCAAAAGCTTACCTTATACTGATGCTTGCCAGCAGGCCTTCATCTAGATCCTTCTGAGCTAATGAATGTTGATCCCAGTATTATAGAGTAAAACAGGGAAATCTGTGAAACCAAAATTGCCTTCATTAGTCTGTAATTTGCAATTGCCTGGTACCAGAATGTTTTTCTTTGCTTGCCTGAATGTCCTTAATTGAATGTGTCACCTGAAGCCCTGGGGCTTAGAGCTTGCTCATGTTACTGTACTAATCAATCAGTTGCAAGGAAGTGAGGGTGCAAGACTAAAAAGTTTCCTGTATCCTCTTTATGCATCTAGGTGTAACTGTGTTAAGAATATATGACTGCCTGTGTATATGGTATTTGACCCATTGCATGTATTCCTAGGGAAGTCTAAAGAGATGAGTGAAAAAGAAAAAAATGAATAAGAGTGAACACATATCCTTGGACAGTTACCTTGTCAAGCTACCAATCAGGACCAGCTCTAGGCACAAGTGTGATATCTGTAAAATCCGATTTTTTGTAGCTATCCTTCCCCTATCCCTTCATTACTGCCACCTTCTCTCTTCTCAACATCCTTAGTCAAACTCCGCTCTCAGGAGAGATCCAAAGAACTCAAATGCAGTAAGATATAAGAATCTGATGATGCAATTTTGCTCTCCTGGGCACACTTGCATTTTGTCAGAGAACAAGGCCTTTTAATGGGTGAAATTCCAAAAGTAGAATTGTAATCATCCAGAAGCGTAGTAAACGGGGCGGGGAGCAGGGCGGGGTGGGGGGGGAAGATGACTGACAGCATCTTTAAAATCACCTCATGGAGCTAACACCATAGGCCAATGACAAAGGCTGGCCTTGCCACCCGTCAATGCATGTAGCCTGAATGGCTAAGGCATTCTTTTTTTTTTTAAACAGCACTTATTGAGCATTCTGCATGCGCATGCGAGGTTCTGTGTGAGGATCCAAGGTCAGGTTCCTGCACTTGAGAAACACACTCAGCTGAGTTTCTGATCCCGAGTGCTCTGAGTTTGCTTCCGTAATGTGTGGGATTGCTGCGTGAGGATCTAATGATTTTTCCCTGTACAATGTACCAAGATGCAGCTGGAGCCTCAGCACCATCTGCATTGCAAGGACCTACAGAATGGGGATCAAACTCCTCTTTCCTTTACCTCCTCTATACAGCAATAAATGACGGGGACAGGGTGGGGGGTTCTGAGAGTCACACTTAGGGGATGGATGGACAGGGTCCAGAACTGACCACCAAACTGGGGGCTTCAGAGTATTCATAATTTCCAGATAGCTCTGTGATATGAGGAAAAGGCAAAATTTCCCAGGGGCTATAACTTAATAATACCAGAGGCAAGCAAATCTTAAAGCCTTGGGGACCTCTAAACTCCTAAGGTTCTGATGCACTAACACTCGGGATCACAGCCTTGACAATCCTGTCTCCAGATTCTGCTACATGGAATCACCACCATGGTTATGTTTGCCTTAAAGCTGCCACAAGTGCACAACAAAAATTCTCTTTGACATTTACTGTCTCGGTAAACAGAAAAGCCACCTTATATTTACCTAGTACCTGGTAGTTTATAGAGCAACTCAGAAAATCCCTTCATCTGTCCCATAAGGTGAAATACTCTCACACCTCACAGATTTCTAGAGTTGGTAGAAGATCATCTACACCACCTTTTCCTCACACTTACCCATCTTACAGTGCTGGATGAAATGCCAACACTTACTGACCCCCACCCCTTCCCCCTCCCACCTCCCACCATCCAGCACCATCTTTCATAAGCACCATTTTGCAGATGATGAAATTGAGACTCAGATATGTTAGGTGACTCTATCAGCAGCAGAAATTATGCAAGTGGAAGAACAGGGTCTCAGACTGGCTGAGGGATTTTTCAATTCTCATTCCATGATATCTCTCAGTAGCACCCAACATTGTTGACCCCCACTGCTTTCCTGAACACTTTCTCAGGGTTTCCACTGCACTACACCCTGGATTTTTCTACTATCTCTGATCCTTTTTTCTCATTCTCCTTAAGGATAGAGAATTGGCCAGTCTTAGTTTGAGCTCTCTTATCTCACTATATAGCCTCGCCTTGTATTGTCTCTTACCCTCATAGTTTTTGTTTTTGTTTTTGTTTTATTGTTATGGAATGTCTTATTTATTTACTTATTTATTTATTTAACATCTTTATTGGAGTATAATTGCTTTACAATGGTGTGTTAGTTTCTGCTTTATAACGAAGTGAATCAGTTATACATATACATAGATCCACATATCTCTTCCCTCTTGCGTCTCCCTCCTACCCTCCCTATCCCACCACTCTGGGTGGTCACAAAGCAACCAGCTGATCTCCCTGTGCTATGTGGCTGCCTCCCACTAGCTATCTATTTTACATTTGATAGTATATATAAGTCCATGCCACTCTCTCACTTCGTCCCAGCTTACACTTCCTCCTCCTGGTATCCTCAAGTCCATTCTCTACGTCTGCATCTTTATTCCTCTCCTGGCCCTAGGTTTTTCAGAACCTTTTTTTTTTTTTTTTAGATTCCATATGTATGTGCTAGCATACAGTATTTGTTTTTCTATTTCTGACTTACTTCATTCAGTATGACACATTATAGGGCCATCCACCTGACTACAAATAATTCAGTTTCGTTTCTTTTTATGGCTCAGTAATATTCCATTGTATATATGTGCCACATCTTCTTTATCCATTCATCTGTGGATGGACACTTAGGTTGCTTCTATGTCCTGGCTATTGTAAATAGTGCTACAATGAACATTGTGCTACATGACTCTTTTTGAACTATGGTTATCTCAGGGTATATGCCCAGTAGTGAGATGGCAGGGTCGTATGGTAGTTCTATTTTTAGTGTTTTAAGTAACCCCCATACTGTTCTCCATAGTGGCTGTATCAATTTACATTCCCACCAACAGTGCAAGAGGGTTCCCTTTTCTCCACACCCTCTCTGGCATTTATTGTTTGTAGACTTTTTGATGATGGCCATTCTGACTGGTGTGAGGTGATACCTCAATGTAGTTTTGATTTGCATTTCTCTAATGATTAGTGATGTTGAGCATCCTTTCATGTATTTGTTGGCCATCTGTATGTCTTCTTTGGAGAAATGTCTATTTAGGTCTTCTGCCTATTTTTGGACTGGGTTGTTTGTTTTTTTGATATTGAGCTTCATGAGCTGCTTGTAAATTTTGAAGATTAATCCTTTGTGAGTCGCTTCATTTGCAAATATTTTCTCCCATTCTGAGGGTTGTCTTTTCGTCTCGTTTATGGTTTCCTTTGCTGTGCAAAAGCTTTTAAGTTTCATTAGGTCCCATTTGTTTATTTTTGGTTTTATTTGCATCACTCTAGGAGGTGGGTCAAAAAGGATCTTGCTGTGATTTATATCATAGAGTGTTCCGCCTATGTTTTCCTCTAAGAGTTTTATAGTGTCCAGCCTTACATTTAGGTCTTTAATCCATCTTGAGTTTATTTTTGTCTATGGTTTTAGGGAGTGTTCTAATTTCATTCTTTTACATGTAGCTGTCTAGTTTTCCAAGCACCACTTATTGAAGAGGCTGTCTTTTCTCCACTGTATATTCTTGCCTCCTTTATCAAAGATAAGGTGACCATATATGTGTGGGTTTATCTCTGGACTTTCTATCCTGTTCCATTGATCTATATTTCTGTTTTTGTCCTGGTACCATACTGTCCAGATTATTGTAGCTTTGTAGCATAGTCTGAAGTCTGGCAGCCTGATTCCTCCAGCTCTGTTTTACTTTCTCCAGATTGCTTTGGCTATTTGGGGTCTTTTGTGTCTCCATACAAATAGTGAAAATTTTTTCTCTAGTTCTCTGAAAAATGCTATTGGTAGTTGGATAGGGATTGAACTGAATCTGTAGATTGCTTTGGGGAGTAGAGTCATTTTCACAATATTGATTCTTCCAATCCAAGAACATGGTATATCTCTGCATCTGTTAGTATCATCTTTAATTTCTTTCATCAGTGTCTTATACTTTTCTGCATACAGGTCTTTTGTCTCCTTAGGTAGGTTTATTCCTAGGTATTTTATTCTTTTTGTTGCAATTGTAAATGGAAATGTTGCCTTAATTTCTCTTTCAGATTTTTCATCGTTAGTGTATAGGAATGCAAGAGACTTCTGTTCATTAGTTTTGTATCCTGCTACTTTATCAAATTCATTGATTAGCTCTAGTAGTTTTCTGGTAGCATATTTAGGATTCTCTATGTCTAGTATTACGTCTTCTGCAAACAGTGACAGCTTTACTTCTTCTTTTCCGATTTGGATTCCTTTTATTCTTTTTCTTCTCTGATTGCTGTGGCTAGGCCTTCCAAAACTATGTTGAATAATAGTGGTGAGAGTGGACAACATGTCTTGTTCCTGATCTTAGAGGAAATGGTTTCAGTTTTCCACCACTGAGAATGATGTTGGCTGTGGGTTTGTCATATATAGCCTTTATTATGTTGAGGTAAGTTCCCTCTATGCCTACTGTCTGGAGGATTTTTATCATAAATGGGTGTTGAATTTTCTTGAAAGCTTTTTCTGCATCTATTGAGATAATCAAATGGTTTTTCTCCTTCAATTTGTTTGTATGGTATATCACATTAATTGATTTACGTATATTGAACAATCCTTGCATTCCTGGGATAAACTCCATTTGATCATGGTGTATGATCCTTTTAATGTGTTGTTGGATTCTGTTTGCTAGTATTTTGTTGAGGACTTCTCATCTATGTTCATCAGTGATACTGGCCGGTAGTTTTCTTGCTTTGTGACATCTTTGTCTGGTTTTGGTATCAGGGTGATGGTGGCCTCGTAGAATGAGTTTGGGAGTGTTCCTCCCTCTGTTATATTTTGGAAGAGTTTGAGAAGGATAGGTGTTACCTGTTCTCTAAATGTTTGATAGAATTCGCCTGTGAAGCCATCTGGTCCTGGGCTTTTTTTGTTGGAAGGTTTTTAATCACAGTCTCAATTTCAGTGCTTGTGATTGGTCTGTTTATATTTTCTATTTCTTCCTGGTTCACGCTTGGAAGGTTGTGCTTTTCTAAGAATTTGTCCATTTCTTCCAGGTTGTCCATTTTATT